GAAGAAGCAAAGTGGAAACTGAGAAGTCAAGTAAAAAAATTATTTCTGGCACTGTGGGGTCTCCCATCCACTTCTGGTCTTGCACTCAAGTGCAAAAACTAGACCATCATAAGATGGCAAAGCAAACTTGAAAAATCTGGCCTCCAAGTGAATATCCAGTGTTGAAGCACCTTCCGAGAATGAGTGAACAAAGGTAAGGACGTGTAGAGAGAGTTTTCTACTGAATGTCAAGAGTTTTTGAAGGCTTTTCTTTCCTTCAAAGGTTGTATGTAGCACTTTTCCTACAGATTTTCTCTTTTAATTCAGAGCTAAACAGCTAAACAGTTCTGAATTAAACGAGAAACAGCTCAAGAGGAAACCAGTTGGCTTCTGCTGTAGCAACATCAGAGTTTTGTTTTGTTGAATCCTTGGTTGCTTCCTCAATGACCATTTCAGATGATTCTGTACTTTCATTTTCTCTGAGCTGGAAGTTAAATCATGGTCTCCTTTCTTGCCAGAAGTACCACCAAGTTTTCTTTTTACATGTTGACTAGAAGCGTAGACATGGGGACGTATCCATAGAAACTCCTAAAAGCCCACTTTGTTCCTTGATATTTGTAATGCTTATGAACACCCATATTGACACAAGGAAACTCTCCTTGTAGCTCTGTTTTATCAAATGGAAAAGGTTTTTCTCATCCCATCATTCAACATCTGAGCTAATCTGAATTAGGGATTACTTTAGGATTATGACTCCAAAAACATTATTCATGCTCAATAATAACCTTGAAATATATCTGATGGTTTTTGAAGTCTTATACCTTTGGACAGTAAAATAAATGAGGATCTGACTTCTGGGTAGTCACTGGTCTGGATCACTGGTCTAATATTCTGGGGAGTACTATTGCTGATGGGCTGAATTCATTAGTGAGAGGAGCCATGGAAACAAGCAATGTATAATTTTTGTTTAGAACTCTGCTGTAAATTGCCCGGTCCAAATCAAGAAGGCTTCCACAGTTAAGAGATTCAGAAGAAAACCATAATTGGATTGTTCTGGCTATAGAGTTGTGTGATTACATCATTATTAATACACAGAGACAGTATTGTGTTGCTCAGAGTGCCTGATGAAAATATCTCTACACTTCTCCTTAACCAGTGTTTTGAACCTTTTCTAGTACAGCAAGGAAGCTGTCCAAAGACTTACGTGAGAATGTGCCAACTTTTGGTGAAAGATTTCCCATCATTAAAAAGTTAAGAGTTGCCCGGCCGGGCGTGGCTCAGCGGTTGAGCATTGACCTATGAACCAGGAGGTCACAATTTGATTCCTGGTCAGGGCACATGCCTAGGTTTCAGGCTCAATCCCTGGCGGGGGGCATACAGGAGGCAGCCAGTTGATGACTCTCTCTCATCATTGATGTTTTTTTCTCTCTCTCCCTCTCCCTTCCCTTCTCTGAAATCAGTAAAAACATTTCAAAAAAAAAAGTTAAGAGTTGCCCTGGCCAGTGTGGTTCAGTGGTTAGAGCGTTGGCCTGCGCACTGAAGGGTCACAGTTCCTGGTCAAGGGGACGTATCTCCGTTGCAGTTGTGCTCCCCACCCTTGGTTGGGGCACCTGGGGGAGGCAACCTGTCGAAGTGTCTTTCTCACATCGATGTTTCTCTCTCTCTCTCCCTCTCTCCCTCTCTCTCCCCCCCTTCCCTCCCTCCCTCTCTCTTTTCTACTCTGAAAAGCAATGGGAAAAAAGTTAAGAGTTGAATCAGATAGGAAATCAATAAGCTTTGTCTATCCTGTAGATAGGCCCAAACTGCTTATACTGGCGGTGTCAGCTGGATCTTGACTATTTTTATCTGTATTAGAGCTGACAAAGCCTCTTGTTCAGGATTCCTGCTTTCCTTGCCATCCTGTGATAGAGTATTTTTTGTGGATCAAAAGTACTTTTAAATCTGTTTACAGGTTAAACATTCTGTCATTGTAAATGCAGGTGATCCACATTATCACTCTTTCTCCTTTTTAAAATTTATTTATTTTTCAAGAGAGAGAGAGAAAGAGAGAAACATCGATTTGTTCCATTCATTTATGCATCGGCTGTTTCTTGTACGTGCCCTGACTGGGGATTGAACCTGCAACCTTGGTGTATTGGACGATGCTCTAACCAACTGAGCTACCTGGCCAGGGCCCCTTCTTCTTCCTCTTCCTCCTCCTCCTCCTCCTCCTCCTCTCCTCCTTTTGTTAATTCTTACCTGATTTTTTTTCCATTGATTTTTTTTTTTTTTAGAGAGAATGGGAGGAGGAGAGACAAAGAAAGACATGGATGTGAGAGGAACACATTGATCGGCTGCCTCCAGCACGTGCCCTGACTGAGACCAGGGATTGAGCCTGCAACTGTGGTAGGTGCCCTTGATCAGAATCGAACCAGGGACCCTTTAGTCCACAGGCTGATGCTCTAACTACTGAGCCAAACCAGCCAAGGCTCTTCCTCTTTCTTTTAATCCTCACCTGAGGATATGTTTTTATTGATTTGAGAGACAGAGAGAGACAAAGAGAGAGAGATATCAATGTGAGAGAAACATCGGTTGGTTGCCTCCCGTATATGCCCCAACTGGGGATCAAACCTGCAACTTATGTATGTGCCCTGACCAGGAGTTGAACCCCTAACCTTTTGGTGTACGGGATGATGCTCCAACTAACTGAGTCACGTGGCTGGGGCAGGGCCCTGTCTTCTATTGGTAAAGCCCAATGAGCAGTACATAGAAACACCATTCTTAACAAGGGGAAGTCTACCTCAAGGACATTGATAAGCTCTGCAACATTAGTATGCTCAACTATTGAAAGAAATACAGAGTGTGCAAGTTTCATCATCTAGTCATCTTTCACTCAATTCATTACAGAATCTTCAAGAAAATAAATTTGTCATTAGATAGTGATACATTCAAATAAAAAATTATTTATTATATGAACTACCCATCATTCTGTGCTCTTCTGTTTTCTCTAGGACCTTGCGTCTGCAGTCTTTCCCCGTCACCTTCAGTCTTTCCTTACTTCTAGGGTGTGTGTGTGTGTTTGTGTGTAAATTGAACCTGCAGGTCTTTCTGTTTTTGGGGCTCTTTCCCCCCCCTCCCTTTCTCTGCCAAACTTTCCGAACAACTGGCTGTCCTCTGACTTCTCAGCCTTTGGCACAACTCTTACATATTTGATGAATGAATAAATGAATGCTCTCACATTCGTCTTCTCATTCACTTTACACAGCCACATGGGCTTCCTTCTCTTCTTTGAACATGCCAGGCTCTTAGGGCCTGTGGACTGCCTATTCTCTTTTCCTGGAACTCTCTTCCTCAGATATTTGCCCAGCCAGCTCCTTTTATCATCCCTACAAAACACAGACACACACACATAATTGCACATGTCAGTCAAGTCAAAAGTAAGAGAAATTTTTATTTCATTTATTTATTGATTCATTTTTAGAGGGAGAGGAAGGAAGAGAGAGAGAGAAACATAAATTTGTTGTTCCATTTACTTAGGTATTCATTGGTTGATTTTTGTATGGCCCTGACCAGGGATCAAACCTGCAACCTTCGTGTATTGGGACGCTCTAACCAACCCTGCCAGGGCAGTAAGAGAAAAATTTGAACATGAATTTTATTTGAAAGCCAAACCTGACACTAAATTGATAATTTTTTGCTTTTGTTGTTTTGACTTTCCAGTTTGTACATGCAGATGATCTCAAATTATAATTTAAATTTAGGAACGTGTTGAGTGTAAGTGGATGTTCACTTTTTCCCAGGGTGCAGAGGAATCAGTGTGGGGAAGGAGGGATGGCTGCTGAACATTCCTGCGAGGTGGGGATTGTTCCCACTTCTTTGGTAGGACACTGAGGTGCCAGGATTCCTGGTGGTTAGGCTGCTAGTAATGTGGTGGTGGGGTGAAGTTTGAACCCAGTGCTGTCATCAGAGCCACACAGGCTGCTAAGAAGCAGAAAAAGACAAGTGCTTTGGGTACCCAATATCAACCTGAAAGATACGTAGTCAAATTTAGAAGGAGGTCATCTGGTTCAACCTGCCTTTTACAGATGGAGGAGCCGAAGCCCTGAAAGGCAGAGCAACCAATCTGCGGGAGAGGGCAGAAGGTAGTGTGGGCGTGTGGGGCTCTGGACTCCGCCATTTACCTCTTTTTCCCCAAGCCCCACACTCTTCAAGGTGCCTCACAGTCCAGCCAGGAAATGGGGGCTGCATGGGAGTGGGGATCCCATGGCCACATGTCATCTTCTGTCACTCCTGGCTCATGAATCCCTGGTTCCTTTGACTGCACCTCTAGTTAACCATCTTTCAGGAACTTCCTTGGCACTTCCTCTCTGTCCTGACAAAATCTTTCCCAAGTCCTTGTTCTTATATTTACATTTGTACAGAATTTTTGCTTTTATAAAGTGCTTTTCTGGCCAGCTTCCCACTTGATCCTCATGATACCCTGGTGAAGAAGCAGGGATGGGATTTTTACTCCCATTTTACAGGAAAGGAGACTGAGGCTGCCCTCTGGATTCTCCAGTGTTGTTAGGAACTAATTACGAGTCTCAGCCTCTCACTGGCCCAGCAGTGCTCCTTTGGCACAGATTCCAGGTCCCCCACCCCACCCCTCTCACATTTCCTAGAATTCCAATGGATTCTACACAGCAGACACATTACACAGATGGCTGGTGGTCCATGGTTAATCAAAGGCTGCAGTCACAAGCTTTATGTTGTTTTGGCAATGTCCCTCCAGACTCCTTAGCTGATTGCCAAGTTATCATGTGCCATTCCCGGCCAATGCTTGCAGTCTTCTCTTTCATTGTCTAATCATATTTTTTCAGTTTACAATCTTCCATTTTATCCAAATGGATCTGGTTTGGTTGATTTTCTCTTGCCTAAATGTTAGGCATCCAACCTAATGGGTTTCAAAAATTAATATAATTTATTTTCTATCTTGTCAGTGCGAAACAAAAATGTCCTTACGACAATGCACTGAAGACCAAACTCTTTCCTCCTCTTCTCCTGTTCCTTGAGTCAGCAGCAAGTAAACAGTTCTGTAAACATGTGTGGGTCTGTGCCCCTGTGTGCATGAACCCACTGTTTTATACCATTCTCAACTGGCTTTGTTCCAGTTGCATCCCAAGTGGCCTGACCTATTCAAAATGGAGATTCCCGTAGCATCTGGACGTTCATCAAAGCCCGTTTCAGCTGCTCGTAGGTTACGAACATCACCACGTTCCAGATTCCCAGTCGCAGAAAGGAGGGTGTAAATCTGATGAGAAAAACAACCAAAACATCAGGCAGAGTGGACTAATTCCCAAAGAGATCTACTGTGCTCTCCCCATCACAGAGTCAGTGCCAACGCACCTAGACTTGTGTTAGTCACAAGCATTTTCTAAGATCTGTTCAGTCTTTTTCTTCTCTGCTGAAGAAATTTAAGCAGAAGGAAAGGAAAGAAAACTAACATTTTTAGCCAGGTTACTATTGCAGGCAGTTATTCTCACAGTTCTATAAGGTAGCTGATTGTTGCCAGTTGTCTTTTTCAGAAACTGAGGCCCAGGGAGGTTAAATGGCTCTACTAAAACCACCTGACTCCCTCTGCTGCTGGGTGTTTCTGGGCTCACTTACATCCTGAGTGGTCATCCCTGATTACACACCTGCCAGGGCACTGAGACGCTGGGACACCACAGGGCAAAGACAGTGCAACACCAAATTTAGCTAATCTCCGGAGAGCCTGACTGTCCTGCCCCACCTCAGCTGTGTTTTGCAGACTCAGGAAGGAGCCTGTTACCTGGCCTTCACCTCTTCAGCCTCTCTCTGGTAATCCCCTCCTGGTCCTCTCTGCTCCTGCCAGACCCTTATTTCCACACCTTTGCCCATGTTGCTGCTTCTGCTTGGAATGTCCCCTATTTTCCCTCCTGGCTGGCTGCTGATGGCTCTGTAGGAATCAGCTTGGGCACCATAACCTCACACCAAGGCCTCTCCTGAGCCCTCAGCTTCAGCCCCTCATGGAATATAGCACTGGGGCAATGAATGTGAACTCTGGAGTCAGTCCTGGGTTTAAATCCTAGCTCTACTAGTTTCTAGCTTCATGACCTTGGTAGAGTTAATCTTTCTGACCTCAGTTACCTTCTCTGTAAAAGGAGAACTCTGTAACGGTATCTACCTCACAGAGTTGCCGTGAGGATTAAATGAGTTAAGGCACAGCACACAGCGCAGGGCCCAGTATCAGAACGTGACATCAATAGATGTCACCTACTTGTCTGCTGCTCGTTGAGGAAGCATAGCACAAGGTCTGGCACCCATGAGATGCAAAGCAAATATTTCCCAAGTAAAATAATAAACTGAGACAAATGGGTAGAGCTGAAGATTGTAATGATGGAGGCGCTTACAGGGAAAGAATTGTCTGTCAATGGAAACACTGAAAGAATGATGATGTCATTCCCAGGGGTGAGAACCCGTTTGCTTGTTGAGGTCAATCTAACACTGAGCTCCAGAAAGCTGTCATCAGTGGTGGGAGGTGAGAGGGCCAAGAAAAGAGCTTAGCAGTACAATGAACATGGTGGGTGAAGTCTGATGGTCTGGGCTCGAGCCATAGCTCTGCCATTTTAATTTGCAATCTTGGACAAGTTACTTGAGTCTCTTCCTCCATAAATGTGAAGAACACTGCCCAGTTCAGGGGGTTGTTGAGATAATATAGTGTCCCCCAAAATGTATACACACTTTAACAGCTGATAACTCACTTAATTTTCACTCATTTTTAGGTTTAACTGATTTGAAAGAATGGATGAAGCCAGACTAAGCTTTGAACAAAGAAAATTTATCCTAAAGTGCCCCATTTTTTTATGGGGATACATAAAAGATAAAGTTTATGGTACAAAACCAGCAATAGTATTGAGTGTGGGGAGGAGGTGGCATTTGAACTAGTCTTGAAGAACAACTAAGATTTAAGAGCATGTACACTTTGATGGTTGCCAGAGGGGTGTTGAGGGGATGGGTAAAAAAGGTGAAGGGATTAAGAAGTATAAAACCTATCGAAAGAAAGAAGA